CATGCGATTTTTAGATGGTGCTTCCCAAATCCCACCAGCCCCCCCTCCCTCATAAAAAATGAACGGTCCCCAGGCACTCTTAATAATTCCTGAGATATGTTATGGATATCTAAAAAAGCAGCGCAGAGTAATTTTATTTAACCAGAGAGATAACATTGAACAATCAGTCAAGAATAGCCAAAACAGACAAAAGAAATCAATGGAATAAGTGTAACAGTATTAGTTGTGTAGTTAAAAATTATTTCACTAGCGCGTGTTGGATAATTGAGCAAGAGATTGATAATCTCTTGTTAATAGATGATACGTAGTATGCTACAGTCATCTCATATCCAACAAGCTTAAGGTGGCTTACTACAGTTTTGATGGATTATAACAGCCCAACTTCTAACTCTTTTGAAAAATCTTCCAAGATGTTTTTCTTTTCTCTATTTACTGTTGACTTAAGTCTTTTACCATAGTAATTGTAAAAGACTTAAGTAAAATTTGTTTGTATCTTTTTTTTTTCTTTTTTTTTGTGTGTGTGTTTAATTTTTTCTTCTCTTTTATCACGCATATTGCATATTGCAACCGCAAGGGACCCGAACACTTCATCAGCAATAAAAATAAATGTACTGTTATTTACCAGTATTCCTGTGTCTTTTTCAGTCTTTTAGATAGACTGCTGGCAGTTCGCGATGATTAAACACTCGTTTAAGTGACCCTTAGAGAAGAAACCGGCTGCCAACAGATTATCTTTTAGAAGGGATTTGAATGAAGCGAAGGCGGTTTACATTTCCGAATGTTATCTCGTCTGTCGCTTTGTAATTATGACGCCCCGATTACGTCTCGGGGGGCTGTTATGAAACCTGAGAATCTATCCCCCCGATGACAGTTAATAGTTAACGACGATTATAGAAACTTAAGGCGTAATCGGAGCGTCATTGTTACAAAGCGGCAGACGAGATGATCACTGCCTTCGCCTCATTCAAATCCCATCTAAACGACTCAAAAAGACAGGAAACAGAACACGGGTAAATAACAGAACATTTATTTTTACTGTGTTCGGGTCCGCTGTGCTAACGGTTAATTTATTTTCCTTTCGGTTAACAGACATTAGAAATTAATTACCATAGTTTTCACACAGGGAGCCCACTATTCCGACATTGTTTTGGGGGGAGTGGGTTTCGGCAAATTAAATAATGACCTCCCACTTCAGAACAATGCGTCACCAGTTGTCGTTTTGTCAAGTGTCCCAAGACT